GTCAATCTCTGTATATCTTTTACTGATTTTGGCGGTTCCATATCGGCAATGACTCTGATCTTCTCTGCATTGACCTCAATCCCTCTTCGAGACACCATGAAACCTAGAAACTTTCCGGACTCCACTCCGAAGATGCATTTGGCTGGGTTCAACCACATCCTGTTTTTTCTGAGGTTGTTGAAGGTTTCGTCTAGATTAGCTAGATAGTCTTCTGCTTTCTGGCTCTTTATTACGATGTCATCGACATACACCTCCAGATTCTTGCCAATCTGAGCTCGGAAGACAATGGTCACCATTTTCTGATAAGTAGCACCAGCGTTCTTTAAGCCAAATGGCATCATGACATAGCAATAGATTTCATCGCCAGCATAGAACGAGGTTTTCTCTTCGTCTTTGGGAGCCATCGGCACCTGGTGATACCCAGAATATGCATCCAAGAGGCTTAACCTCTCATTGCCTAAAGCCGCTTCAACTAACTTGTCAATGCTCGGCATCGGATAGCAATCCTTGGGGCAGGCTTGGTTAAGATTTGTGTAATCAATGCACATTCGCCATTTACCGTTTGCCTTCTTCACCAAGACTGGGTTAGCCACCCATTCGCAGTAATCAACTTTCCTGACGAAACCATCTTGTAAAAGTTTCTCTACCTCTTCTTTAATAACCTGAAGCCTCTCCCCCCCGAAGAGACGCCGCTTTTGGGCCACTGGTTTCTTCAATGGATTGGTGCTAAGCTTGTGTTGGAATACTGATTTCGGAATTCCTGGCATATCGGCTGAAATTCATGCGAATACATCATTATTAGCTCGGAGAAAGGCTATTAAATCTGCTCGTTCCTCTGGGTTCAATCTAGTTCTAATCTACGTCTTTCGGCTCGGATCTCTGTTATCAATGAGCACCTCTTCAACATCTTCGATCGGAGCAACTCTGGTTTCATCTTCCGGGCGATTATCGACGATCTCAACGCCCATAACTTGCTGATTATCAGAAATTGGTTGGGGAATGGCCTCGGGTGTCGGATCTTTGCCCTTCATAGGTTGTGTTACGGAGGTGATATAATTATGTCTAGCCACCTCCTGGTTTCCTCGTAGTGTTGTTATTCCCGTAGGAGTTGGGAACTTCATACAGAGGTGAGACTGGGAAACCACAGCTCGGATTTCAGTCAGTGTGGGTCGGCCAATAACAATGTTGAAAGAGGACGCCATTTTGACTACGAGGAATCGGACTGAAGGAGTCACATAGGTCCTGCCACTCCCAAAAGCCACATGGAGGGTAAAAACTCCTTCTACCGGAACAGGCTGGTTGTTGAAGCCATAGATAGGACCATCATATTTCTGCAACAATGCTGGATCCAGTCCCAGACTCTCGAAACAGTGGAAGTACATGATATCTGGTGTACTCCCGGTGTCAACAAGGACATGCTGTACTTCACAGTTATTAATCATGACAGAAGTGACCAAGGGATCATTGTGGGGTGTAACAACTGTATCGAGATCAGCAGTGTGAAAGTAATGGGCTGATTTTTCCATTCAGCATCGTCAATCTTTCGCTTCTGAGCTCGGTTTTGATGTTTAATCTCTCTGACATACAGCTTTCGCTGCTTAGAGCTCAGTCCACCTGCTTTAAGGCCTCCCGTAATCATGTGTATGATTCTGGCTGGTGGTGGGAGCTGAGGTGGGGCTTGCTGATATCCCACACCTTGCCTATTTGGGGGATTGCAGACTCCTTGGGGCTGCGGCCTCTGTTCTTTGATAAACCTCGGCTGTTCAGCTCTCTGAACATACTCATTTAGCATTCCCTTCTGAGCTAAACTTTCCAGTTCAGACTTTAAGCTGTTGCACTGCTCTGTAGTATGTCCGTGATCTTGATGAAAATCGCAATATCTGGTGTGGTCTCGACTAGCAGCAGCAGTTTTCATTGGGCCAGGACGCCTTAAATCCATCTTATTCTTGATCTGCACAAAAATTTGTGACCTCGGCCGATTAAAGGGAGTCCAATCAACTGGAGGTTTACCTGCACATTGTTGCGGGGGTGTTGAGTTCGTCCTTCCTAATCTCGTTGGGGAGGTCAACATCAAACCTCGGTTCTGCGCCATCCTCATCCTTTTCCTGCTCGGATTGTCATCTCTCCAATCTGGGTGCTGGTTCTTAGTGGGAGGTGGGTTTTGCGCCAGGG